CTGCCTCCTGAGAGCCAGGATTAAAGGTATGGGCCACCACACCCATCCTAACCACATTGAATTTTAAGAGGAGCAAGTACAAAATACACAAAGATTTAGCTTGGGTTTTAAGAGGAAAAAAAAAATTTTTTTTTAAATTTAGGGTCATAATAATGGCTCCAAGGGTAAATGTACTTGCTGACAATCCTGACAATCTGAGGTACCAACATAGTGTAAGGAGAGAAGGAACTTCAAGCCGTCTTCCAACATCTACATATGCATAAGAGACAAGCATGCGCACACACATACACAAATAAAAACAAATTGGTTAAAGAAAAAAATGGAGCAGAGCACGGTGGTGGACACCTTTAATCCCAGCATGTGGGAGGCAGAGGCAGGTGGATCTCTGAATTCGAGGCCAGCCTGGTCTACAAAACAAGTTCCAGGAAAGCCAGGGCAGTTACACAGAGAAATCCTGTCTCAAGGGGGGGGGGGGGGTATAGCATGAAATAAAATACAAAGTGAAAATTAAAAATGAATCAACGAATCCATCTTCTCAAAAACATGAATGAAAATGGGTAGTGATCTACAGATGGTTTAGGGTGAAACCTTTTTGGTTTTTTTTCCCACAAGACAGGGTTTCTCTGTATAACAGTCCTGGCTGGACTTGCTCTGTAGACCAGGCTGGCCTTGAACTCACAGAGATCCTCCTGCCTCTGCCTCCAGAGTGCTGGGATTAAAGGGGTGCACCAACACCGCCCGGTTTAGGCTGAACTTTTTTAACTCATTAGATAAACAATAAGCATAAATATGAAGACAGCTAGCTTCCATAATATAAGCACACACACAAAACAAATAGAAGACATGAAAAACAGAAAGAAAGTCTCATACACCTAAATCATAGTTAGAAAAGAAAACTGAATGAGTTGCCAGTATTTGAAGACAAGGAAGATAGTACATTTTTTTCCTTTTGGAGTTCAGGGTCTCACTCTGTAACCCAAGGTACTCACTATGTAATGCTACCTGTCCTCAATCCTCCTGCCTCAGCCTCCAAAGTGCTGAGGCTACAAGTGTCAGCCATCATACTTTTCTTCTAGAAAAGAACATATTCTGAAATAAAAGAACGTTCTTCTTTGGATGAAAAAAGAAGGCCAAGCCTGAAGAGAACAAGCTGCCAACTGTCTACTCAAACATACCAGAAAGCAGACTAAAATGAAATCTTACTTCCAGCTAAATAGCTATTATCCTAGAATTCAAACTAACACACAAAAGCACAATAATGAAAATGCTATTCCTAAATATAACACCAACAGCACAGACCCTGAGCACAACAATTAATAAATGGGACCTCTCGAAACTGAGAAGCTTTTGCAGGGCGAAAGACACAGTCAATAAGACAATAAGACAGCCAACAGAATGGGAAAAGATCTTCACCAACCCCACATCTGACAGAGGATTGATCTCTACAGTATATAAAGAACTCAAGAAACTAGACATCAAAATACTAAAAAGTCCAATTAAAAAATGGGCTAAAGAGCTAAACAGAGAATTCACTTAACAAGAATCACAAATGGCTGAAAGACATTTAAAGAAATGCTCAACATCCTTAATCATCAGAGAAATGCAAATCAAAATGACTCTGATACCACCTTACACCTGTCAGAATGGCTACAATCAAAAACACCAATGACAGTCAATGTTGGAGAGGATGTGGAGCAAAGGGAACACTCCTCTACTGTTGGGAATGCAAGCTTGTACAACCACTATGGAAATCAGTATGGCGGCTTCTCAGAAAATTAGGAATCAAACTACCTCAAGACCCAGCCATCCCACTCTTGGGCATATACCCAAGGAATGCTGATTCATACCATAAAGATACATGCTCAACTATGTTCATAGCAGCACTATTTGTAATAGCCAGAACCTGGAAACAACCTAGATGCCCGTCAACGGAAGAATGGATGAAAAAAATGTGGTACATATACACAATGGAGTACTACTCAGCAGAGAAAAACAATGAAAGCATGAAATTTGCAGGCAAATGGATGGAACTAGAAAAAATCATCCTGAGTGAGGTAACCCAAACCCAGAAAGACAATCATGGTATGTATTCACTCATAAGTGGATTCTAGATATAAAACAAAGAACAATCAGACTACAACCCACAGAACCATGGAGGCTATATATATAGCATGGAGGTCCCTAGGACGATTGTGGCTTATAATAAATTTCGGTTTTACTCAATTACTGAGCAAGCCTCAATGAAACATCTCACTATTAAGATAAGAATACATACTCTATCAAGCTGATATTAGAAAAATAAATTAATTAATTTTAAATAAAAAAATAAAAATAAAAATAAATAAAGAAAATGCTAAACACATGTATGCCAAATAACTTCAAAATAAAGGCAAATGGGCTGGAGTGTAGCTTAAGGGTAAAACAGTGAGGACCTGGGTTCAATCCCAGCACAAGAGAAGAAGAATGCACAAAGTACAGCATCACTGTGTCTACAGTCACAACTACTTCGGAGGACCAAGGGCCCAGATAGTCCAGCATGGGCAGGGCTGCAGCTTTGGCTCACTGGTTAAGGGTTTGCTTAGTATGTCCAAGTCCTTGGGTTTAATCATCAGCATCTTTTAATCTAACACATAGGCTGCTATTCCTGTAAAATAATAAAAATTATACATACTCGTAGATGTGTACATATGATGACTACTGAAATGTGGATGGTCTAAAAGAGAGTAAGTTAATAAAAATTTATTCAGACTGTGAAGAATAAAATAAAAATATCAACTTAATCTTTTAATTTCTTTTTTTCTTTTGGGAGAGTGATGAAAACAGAGTCTCAATAACTGAGTGCAGGAAATAAACTTGCCTATTAATAATCTGTTAGGGCTGGAGAGATGGCTTAGTGATGTACTGATCTTAGAGGAACAGTCTGGTTCTCAGCATCCACAACAGGCTCATGGGCTGTAACTTTTAGCTACAGGAAATCTAATTTCCAAATCCACAGAGGCCACAAACACAGATAATAAAAAAAAAGTAAATTTTATAAAACTGGAATAAGTGAAGGCCTATAATCCCAGCACTTGGGAGGCAGAGACAGGATGATTAGAAGTTCAGGGTCATCCTCAGTTAATTACAATGAGTTTTCAGTCAGCTTGGGCTATGTGAAACCTTGTTTCAATAACAGAAGTATTTTTTTTACTTTAGGTAGCTGGAGAGACGGCTTAGTCATCAGTGGGGACAGTACTGGTTTAAGAATGTACACTGTTCTTCCAGAGGACCCTCATGTTCAGTTCCCATGCAGCTCAAACACCTGAACTCCAGCCCCAGGGCCTTTTCAGGGACAACACATACATTTTTTTTTTTTATTTAAATGTCAAGCCGTCCTCAGCTCTACAATAAGGGAGTTTTGCTTGTCTGTTTGGTTTTTTTGTTGTCTGACTGGGGTCTTTTGGTTTTTGGTGGGGGAGATTTTATTTTTGTTTTGTTGGTTTTGAAACAGGGTCGCACTCTACCGAGACCAGCCTGGCCTAGAAACCACTATGCAATTCAGACTGACCTCAAACTCATAGCAACCCTCCTGCCTCAGCCTCCCAAGTGCTGGCATAAGCCACCATGTTTGACGTTTCGATTTTTCTTTTCCTTAATTTTTGAGACAGCACCCCAAGCTACCCTCCAACTCAAACTCCTCCCCTACCTCTAGAATGCTGGGATTACTCGCATGTTTCACCATGATAAACACTCCAGGTCTTTTTTTTAAGTTTACATTTATTTGGTTTTGTTTTTTGTTGTGTTTTATTTGGAGGTATGACCTGGAATGTGAGTGGAGGTCAGAGAACAACTTGTGGCATGTATGTTCCCAGGGTTAAACTTAGGTTGTTGGTCTTGGTGGCACATTCCCTTACCCACTAAGCCAGCTCAGGGCTTTCATTTGTTCTCTCTTCTATCGCCTCATCTTCAATCACTATTACTCTGAGAAACTTTTGCTTGTTCCTAGGGCCTTGGGCTTTGAAGTACACATTCTATGTACTGAGCCATACTTCCTACATAATGGTTATTAACGATGGTAAAATCACTCTAGAGTAACTGAGATGTCACTCAGTCACCCATCACTCTTCCTTTTAAGGTGCTCCTGGTGGATTTCAATGTCCTCTCTTTAAGGTCGTCCTTCATCTCTGAGAGTATCATCCTGTACCTTTTTCTAATCTCACCTTTTAAATGCATTCTACATACTATCCAACAAAAACAGTCTTCTTGGCCAGGCAGTGGTAGTGCACGTCTTTAATCCCAGCACGTGAGAGGCAGTGGCAGGCAGATCTCTGTGAGTTCGAGGCCAGCCTGGTCTACAGAGCAAGTTCCAGGACAGGCTCCAAAGCTACACAGAGAAACCTTGTCTTGAAAACAAAAAAACAGTTTTCTGAAAATGCTGCTTTATCTTTCTGAATCATTACTATTCCATATCTGTCAAAGTACTTACAACCAGCTTACAACTCTTTTCTGGCAAGTGAGCCATTTCTGATCAAGAATTCCCTAACTGCATCTGAGCAACTTGATCTGATCTTAAAGAGGTCTAGAGGTAGGCACCACATCCAAGTCAAACCAGTCCAGGGCAATTTTAACCAAAAGAATATCAGATTCAGATTTGAGATTTTAGGCTCTTAGGACAGGAGGTACAGGTTGGAGAGACAACTCAGTGTATATAAGAACTTGCCACCAGTACCACACACCAGCCCTGACCACCTGAGGTCAGATGCCCAGAACCCATGGGAAAGGCAGACTTAGTAGTACAAGCACCTGTAAGCCCAGTAAGCCTCTACAGAGGTAGAGCTGGGACATCTGCTCACAGGCCAGCTCACTTGTTTATGCAGAGTAAAAGAGACTGTCTCTTTCTTTTATCTTTTATTTTTACATTTTTGAGACAAGATCAATGTAATCTTGACTATCCTGGAACTTGCTGTATTGACCAGGCTTTTTCTGCCTCCTGAATGCTGAGATTAAAGCCATTTGCCACCATGCTTCACCAAGACCATCGTAAAGAACTTGAAAGGTGGGGACTGATAAAATGGCTGTCCTCTAACTCACACTCTTTTTCAAGTGCACACACACACACAATTTTTTTTTGTTTTTGAATTCCAAAAGATTTTTTTTTTTAAAGCCATAAGCTACCTAGGTATGGCAGCCCTCACCAATCTCAGCACGCAAGAGGTTGAGACAAGAGGTTAATAGTTTGAGGCAAGCCAGCCAGGTCTCCATAGTAAGTTAAAGACCTGTCTCAAAAAGAGATTGGGAGAGACAGAAAGGTGAAAAGAGGAGCTGAGAAATAGTCATCCCTCTCCACAGGAGGCAATATAAGAAGGTAGAAAACAACTTAATGGCTGCCTAGATTGCAATTCTAGATATGTATTTCCCTTAAAACTATAGCTTTCTAATCCATAAAATGAGAACTACTTCAGGAATTTGACAATTAAATGAAGTAATTGGTGTATTAAAAACATTTAGTACAGTATTTGGAACATAGTTAAACACTTGGAGAGGTTAACTCCTAGTCGATAATTTTCACAAAGATAAGAAGGAAGGTACTGCAGGAGAGATAACAGGACTAGCTCCAGTTCCTGTCCATATTAAGACTCTTGGTTCCTACATCCTTACAATAAAAATACTCTGTTTTGTTCACACAAGCTTAGAATCGGACTTCTGTCTCATAATTGTCACTACAGGAATTTAAAAAACTATACCTCTTTTTTAATGGTTTCCCACATCCCACCAATTTAAATAAATTGAAATAAAACATGCTCCCAATATAGCTACCATATTTACCTTGACATTCTGACCACTTCTATAAAACAAAGGGATAAAAATGACTAGTATTTGAGGCATCACACCACATCCCAACCAGTACTTTTCCTCTTATGTATTTAATGCCTTGTCCTCCTCATTTCACTGTGAGTGTTTACTGATAATTCTGGTAATTCAAGCTAATTCATTTGCTTAGAAACCACCCTAAACATAACATCCAACACAGAGAAAAAGTGAACAAGTAGACTTTCCATATTTCAAGTCTCTCCACACACACACACCCCTTTTGAAACCCAGATTAGTCTCAAACTAGAACTCACTCTATAGCCAAGGAAGACTGTTAACTTTTGATCCCCTACCTTCACTTCCTGAGCGTTAGGATTACAGATGTGTATGACACCACACCCACTTTCATGCAGGGGGGGGGGGAAACTAAGGCCCCCCATGCACACTAAGCAAACTTTCTACCAACTGAACTACACTCCCTCAAAGTCTTGAAATGTGCATGATTGACTTCATCTTCCATTTGCTAAGTCCTATTATTTTAACACTACAATAATTAGCTATAATTCTGCTACACTGGATTTTCACATACAATCAACTGAGATTCACTATCTTATATAAGCTACCGGGCCTTAAGGGCTACTCACCTAGAACCACCCAAGGCAAAAATAAAACTTCTACTTTTGCTATATGCCCAAGAAAAGAGGTTGAAATGTCTGTTTTCTAACTTTGGGCCAAACCTCTCTCATTTCCCAAAAAGTCACCAAAGTGCTCACAAAGACGGTGACAAGTTTAAAAAAACAAAAACAGAAACCCTTTGCTGCTTGTCAAAATTGTTACGATGTGAAAACAAAGAGTACTGAAAGGTAAACTACACACCACAAATATAGTAAAATGACAGTAACTAAAACCCTAAATTTTTCCCTCCATACTTATTAAATCTAACAGAAACACCAGCAAGCCAGCTCTAGAAAAGAGACCCTGGGTAGAGTGCTGAAAACACCGTTCAGAGGTATAGTGTTTTTGTAACATGTAAGAGGACCTGAATTTAATTCCTCAGTTCCTGAATATCATTTATCTCTACTTTCAAAGTACCCTGTGACACTTAGACACTTATACATACACACATACATACATACATACATACACACACATACATACACACACAACTTAATTTTTCAGATTTTACAAAATCAGTTTAAAGCTTGAAGTCAATATTTAATATTTAGCATCCTAAACTACTTAAGTTTTTTTTAAATATTTTTGATAAACAGTCCTTACCACTCTGGCTGCTCTCTCCTGAGATTCACATTTCCTGCAAAACCATGGTCCAGTAGGTACTTGAACAATGCCATAGCAAGCTGTGGGAAAACAAAATTGTTTGAATTTGAAAACAAAATATTTCTATTTGAAAACTAAGAAAAAGGTCTTTTTAAACCCTATCAACTACTTCTCACACTATTCAACACCTTGCTTTATAAATTATTTTATATAATGTTGAGGGTACATTCAATTAATAAGTAAAATTATAACAATAAAATTTAAAAATTCAACCTTCTGAGTTATTTCCACTAAAATCCAAAAAGTGTTTGGTATGACAGTACATAAATGTAATCACAAAACCCTATAGAGGCTAAACCAAGATGATTCTAAGTTTCAAGTCACTCTGAACTGCACAGAAACTCTATTTTCAAATAAATCAAAATGCTACAAATGTTAGGTTTTTTAAATTGCATGTTGGGATATTGTTTTTCAGTGATTATGTAAACTTAGCACAAGTTGATGTACAGAATAAATCAGAAATTCATTGATTCATTCCTTGCCCTATAGTTTAAGTACCAAGTGTTTCCTATTGCTTTGAGGTAGAATTTCACTGACTATAGCCTGCCTCAGCCTCTTTAAAGTGCTGGGTCTACAAGCACACAAATGAATGAAACAACAAAAACAGAGATTAAGAACAAAAAATTAAGACTAAGACAAGCAACAGATACAAAAGAAAATATGCCACAGTGAAATACTTGTGAGCTGCTGGGGTTGTGGCTTATCTCCAGCAAGCCTATAACGTCAGCACTCAGGAAATGGAGGCCAACCTTTACCACACAACAAATTCAAAGCCAGCCCAGGTTATTCGATACTAAAGTGAAAGTTTATGGTAGAGCACTCTGCACAGCATGTTCAAGGACCTGAGTCTAATCCCCAGCACTTAAAAAAAAATTATGTGAAATATCCAAAAAAGGAAAATTAATAGACAAAGTTGTGGTAATCTAGGTATATGAGAATCAGGTAGAAACAGGAAGTGACTTCTAATGGATCCAAGCTTTTTATCAGGGTGATGAAAAAGATCTAAAACAAACTGTGGTAGTGTTTGCACAACTCTATGAATATATCAAAAACCACTGGATTTTTACACTCCAAACAGGTGAACTGCACAGTATATAATTGTATTTCAATACAATGTTATTTAAAAAAAATTTATATGATTTGCATACCCCAAGTATTCTCATGTTCACATACCTAATTCACAGCCTCATTTTTTGAAAATTTTTTTAGAATATATTTTATTTATTGTATATACATGTGTATGTCAACTTCCAGGAATTTGTTCTCTCCTTTCACTATATGGGTCCAACAATTGATTTCAAGGCTTAGCAAGAAGTGCCTTATAACTAGACCATGTCACTGGCCCAGCCTCCTTGTTTATAAGGGGACGAGGTGGTTTTGTTTTAAACTGGGCATGGTGTAATCCCAACACTCAGGAAGTTAAAACAGAGGACCTCAAGTTCAGGCCAGACTGGGTTACACAGTGAGAATCTATAAAGTCCAAGGGATTGGGGGGAGGGGGGGACCTACTGGAGCAGTTCACAGATTGAAAAAACAACTTCATCTAGCATGAACAAAGTCCTGAATCTGACCCTCAGCATGAAAACACAAAAGGAAAAGGAGAAAAAAGTTTGATTTCTTGTTTGGTTTAGCAACTTACAAAATGTTTTTACTATTTATTTATTCTTGTGTATGTTGTGGGGGCCAGTGTGCCAGGGTGAGCAGTAGAGGTCAGAGGACTTTCAGCAGTTGGCTCTCTCCCTCCCACCATGAGTCTCAACCACCACACTGGTCAGGCTTGGTGGCATGTGCCTTTTAACCACTGAGCCATCTCACTCGCTGAAAAAGTTGGTTTTAATGTTCATATTTAATTTGTTAAGATTTTCAACTTTTCTGAGAACTTATAAACACATTCAATCCATCTTACTCAGCAGAAAATGTCTTAAAATATTGGGAAACCATACAATAAAATCAACAGAGCTTTCTAAATACCAAGAGCTGAACGTTTTGAGTGTCCCATAGCACAGGTTGACCTCAAACTTGCTACGCAACCCCTAGGATGAACTTGAGGTTTTGACCCTACTGAGTACTGAGATGACAGGCCATGCCTTTATGCTAGGTTTATTCCACACTGGTTTAAATCCAGGGCTTTGTGTATGATACCTACTTACTTCAATTGAACTACATGTTGTCCTAATTGAGTCTAGGCTGTCCTCAAACTCAAAAAGATCCTCCTGCCTGACCCTCCCCAGAGTTGTGATTACAGGCATAAACCACCATGCCTCGGCTAATCTCCTTTAAACCTGTGTAAATCGAAGTAAAGAAAACAATAGCATCAATGACTTGGTGGTAATCGTACACATCTGTAATCCCAACACTTGGGAGGCAAAAGTCAAAAAACTGGAGTTCAAGACCTGCATACCAATTCTGAGGCCAGCCTGGGCTATGTGAGACCCTGTATCAAAAAAGAAAAAAGAAACAGCATAGAGTCCAAACACACACTTTTATTTAAGCACCTCTAGAAGGGAAAAAAAATTTAGATGTACATTTTCTGTATTGACAAGCAAAGATTACATAACAAAATAATTTTTGATCCAAAAATTTATGAGATATGCCCTGCCCCCAGACAGAAAAGCAGAGGGGAAAAGGTATTGGAGAAATATATTTGAGCAAAGTATAACAAGATATCTGTACGAGAATGCCATAACCATTAATTTTTATCCCAACTAAAGATCGTAACATACACAAATGCCAATGAAAACAGAAATTATGTATGTCTGGCATAAATTTTCCTTCCTTTTTGCAAAAGACTCTCAAGTATCTAGGACAATGTGTAACTTTCTCCTTTAAAAAAGCCAATTAAGTTTCTTTTGAAGTTTAAGTTACTGTCTCAATATCATTACTTGTCTAAATGTGCCCCTCCCAAAT